AAATTTTGTAAAATTAAAAAATCGATCTACGTCGATCCACAGAAAATCAACCAATCAGACGAACTTCTGTCTATGAGATCTGAGTCTGGTAAAGGCTAACCCTAATTTAAATCGGGCCATCTTTGTCAGCGAAATGGCTGTAGGCGAAATTGGGTTATATCCATGTACAGTATAATTCATAGACACTCTATGTCCATGAACAAACAAAAATTATTTTCATCAAGTAATTTATTCTGCATCACGATCATGCACGCACGTACTGTACAGTACGTACGTACATACGTACGTACCATGAAGATAATTGTAACGATCCCAAATGAGGACTCAAATTTAGGGCCGGAATTCATCGACTATCCTATGGTGAACATTACGTAGTAAATTTAAGACTATACAGTACGTAGCGATAGAGACCTGCAAAAAACTGTTCAAGAAATCACATGCAAGTTAACAGATACGGATATACTAGCCAATCACAGTAAAAATCGCTAAAATTTTTTCATACCAATACTGTTGAATTAAATGAATCCTTTATATAATCAAATTGTATTATTTGGTGACTCTATCACCCAGGTATTCAAATTTTCTAAACGATATCGTTTCGAAAGAATTAAAATTGACATTATATTTATCTGGTAGTTTGGGCATGATCCCGAAAATAACGGTTGGGTTGCAGCACTTCAGTCTTCTTATGTAAGAAAATTTGACGTTTTAAATAGAGGTTTTTCAGGTATGTACGTTTATTAAAACAAAATTTTTTTAAACAATTATACATATCGATATTATAACATTTATGATCTCTATTATGTAGGATATAATACTGAATGGGCAAAAATTTTATTGCCTCAATTACTTCCTAAAAATTATTCTCCTTCAAATTTTCCTAAGATCATTTTGTTAATAATCTTTTTTGGTGCAAATGACGCTGCTATAGAATCATCTATTCAGCGTGTTAATATTGATAAATACAAAGAAAATCTTATTCATATGGTAAATTTAATTAAAAATCCTGATTCTTCTTATTATAATCCGGAAACAAAAATTCTACTTATTACTCCTCCACCTTTGGATGAAAAATTTTGGGAAGAAACTTGCGTTTCCGATGGTAAAGAGCTGAATCGAAAAGCCATTATTACTAAAAAATATGCTGAAATTTGTGTTGAAACTGGTTTGGAATTAAATGTTCCTGTTGTAAATCTATGGAAAATTATAAATGATCATGCGACGTTAAAGGATTATTTAACAGATGGTTTACATTTAAATTCTCTTGGAAATAAGGTCCGAATCTATTTCATTTCCTTGAGAATTATATTTTGGATAATTATTTCCATCAACATGTCTAACATTTTTCTTTTATTACCGTATCGTCGCGAAATAACGCCCGGGGCGTTATTTCGCGACAATACGGTACTGTTATCGTGGTTTAGACTTTATTTATTGCGGTTATGGATGCTATTAAAAATAATTGGCCAGACCTGGTTCCCGAAACGATTAAGGATATCTTTCCTCTTTGGAGAGACGTTAACGCTAAAGATCCAGATTCCTCTTTGAAACTTGAAGATTTCGTACCTTATCGACTTTAATAAAAAAATTACTCTATGGGTAGGTACCTATGCATATAGTATATAGGTATATAGGTATATAGGCGAACAGCTTAAAAACATCCAATTTATTTTTTGTAAAAAAAAAAATTGTGGCCTTACTACAATAAATCACATCACTGGTGTTAACACCATAGTTGCTATATCTCAAACATTCTAAGAAAAATTCTCAGCCTCAAAACCTCTTTCTAATTTCAACATTAATTTTTAACCTCTAACTTCTATTCTTGCTCTAACTTCTAACCCTAACCTTAAATTTTACTTCTATAGCGAAAAATATATATGGTGCTGAGCACCACTGGTGTGATTTAAAACTATTGAAAATTGTATCTATTCAATAAAAAAAAATATATATATATTAAGAAAAAAATACGTAATTTGATCATTTTAGTAAAATTTACAAAATTTAAATATAACATTTGTTTTAAAGTTTTCAGCTTGTGTAAGAAAAGTTTTTTTTTCTTTTGCAAATTTGACCAATCAATCATATTGCAATATTACATATAATTATCTGTTAAATTTTGATGTTATGCTAAATTTTTTACGTTATTAGACTGTTCGCACTATAGTTCTTTATGATACAATGCGGTATGATACGATATTGGACTTTTAAAGGTTATACATCAGAATACCTAAAAAAGGATTCAAACTCTTCTCATAAAACATTTCCACTCCATTTCCAATATCGTATTTTTTGATATAGATTCTGTTTTTTTTTTTTTTCTCAATTTCACAATTTAATTTGCTAGACTATTTGCAAAAATAATTAAAATAAACAAATAACTGAAAAAATACTTCAAGTCATAATGTACTATATTGATCCTAAGTTCTAGGATCGCATGCGTTTTCTTCGAACTCAAAAAGCTCGATAAAAAAAGAATAACCATAATAATTATAATAATGACAATCTATTGAGATGACTGCGGAATTATAATGCGGTCTCCATCCTTTTGATGCTTCGATGGATTTGGTGGCTCAATTGGTGATGTCGCCTTGCGTTTCTTTTCATGAATATGATTGGTCTCAGGTGCTCCATTACGTTCCAATAAAAGAGATTTAAGAAGATTTTTCTATTTACAAAGAAAAGTATGACTTATGCGTATATGAAATGATAATCCTTATGGAATGAATGATGATTTTAAATTCGTACCTCTATCTCAAGCTCTGAGACCTTTTTTTCCAAGTATTCTCTTCGATCACGTAATTTACGTTCATTAATAACTTCATTTTCTAATTCACGTACACGATCCTCTAGGTATTTATTTCTTTCAAGGAGTTGTTGCATGTCTCTTTGAGATGTCGATTTGGGATGAATAATGCGGCCATCAATATCTTGCTGTTCACTTGGTACCAATGATTCAGGTGCCCTTCGTGTTTCTGAAATTTGTACATTAAATTCAGAAGGACTATGTGCGTATTGTAATTGATAATGAGGTGTAGCACCATTGGTAGGTATAGACGTGGGTGTTTCTACTGGAAATATGATTTGATGATTTGGCATTATGATGTTTGAGGTAATTGGTTTTGCTTGTAATGCATTAGATTGATTAGATGATGGTTGTTGATTTTTTAGTTGGGGAGGCCATGAATGATAATCCTGATTCATCATTTGCTGTCGTTTGTAATAATCTTGAGTTTGTCTCGATACGTCAATTTTTGAATGAGAAGTTGTCGATAGATTCGATACCTGCTTGTTCGGTAATTCCTCAGAAGTCTGCTTGAATTGCTGTTGTTGTACCTGTTTTTGCGATACTGGCGATGAATTTGATTTTGGATCTGATTGTAATGCTGTCTTTGATTGCGGCTGAGATGTAGACAGTAGTTGTGGCTGTGGCGTAGTTTGTTGTGGCGAAAGCTGAACTGGTGGCTGTTGTTGTACTTGTTCTGCCGACTTTGAGTCAGAACCTTGATATAATTTTTTCTGTGGTCCACCACAAAAACTTTCTGCGCGCAAATGTCTATTCAATGCATCTAATCTTGCAAAACTTCTCTTACAATAAGTGCATTGATACGGTTTTTCACCTGTATGCAACTTCATGTGCCTTTTCAAATCATGTTGCCTACGAAAGAAATGCTGACATACGTTACATTGAAAAGGTTTTTCTTGAGAATGAGTTAAAGCGTGAGACTTTAGATTATGTTGTCGACTAAATGTTTGATTACACGTCCCGCAGACGAATGGTTTTGCCTTTGCGGGACTAGGACTATTAGGTTGACCAAGAGTTGTTTGTTCTGGATTAACAGGAAATTGATTGAATGATCCTAGTTGAGAAGAGTCTATAGGTGTGGAAGATGGAAAGTTAACCAACCCTAATGATATTGAAGTATTAATGGTAGTGGGTTAAAAGATTTTATCAAAAGTTTAATCAATTATTAGTAATAGATGAAATTAATATAATGTAAAGAGGATTATATAAATGCATATATTTTAATGATAGCAGATAAAATAGTTAGTTACCTTTCGGATCAGTAGTTGTCTCTTTTTGAGGGGTTGAAAGAACTTGTTTTTGTGTAGAATCGGAGATAGTAGAATTTGACATTGTTGATTTGCTATCAGAGGAAGGCCAACTAACCGTTGCAACGTTTGACGGTTGAGAAGGAACAATTGAAGTAGTTGAAGGGGAGATAGAATTATCTTTATTCGAAGCAGAAACAGCAACTTGCTGTGTTTGAGCCTCTACGTTTTGAATGTGTAGAGAATTATCCGTTACCTGCGTGTGAGTTGGTAAAGAATTAGGCGAAGCGGCGTTGGGAGGCGCAGTGGAGTCAACGTGAGAAGCTGAGGCTTCTTCCCTTTTAACTTCATTTTGTGTATTGTCTTTAGCGCCATGAGTATTAGCTTTTGATACTTTGACGCTGTCCATATTTTAAATTGTTGAGAAACTATGATTTTGAAAGTGTGGCTTGAGAAAGGCTATGTGTACACTGAGAAGAGGTGGGGGAGGAAAATTGTGGTTTTTTAAAAGGTCCAATACAGGCACAGCCAACTAAGGCGAGAAAAGGGGTGCAAAGGTAACTTGCATGAACATCTGTATTTCACTGCAATATGACTAAACAAAAATGGCATTATACCGGTTAAATACAGGTTTTATAAAGTATGACGAAAGAAGTGATGGTGTGACGGTGCCATACTAGTCATCGAGGTTCGGGTTCTATATTCTATTTTTAGGCTTAAACTACGATACCTGTGAGTGAAGAGGCCAAAAAAGAAGGGTCTCAAGTTTAGCCATGGCACATTGATACAACAATCGAAAGTGACTTATTATCGGATGCATTTCGAAATGGAAGGATAAACGAACACAAAAATCCTTTTAAATGAATGGTGGCGTTTGATTTGGAAAAATGCGACAAATGAGAAAAAAATGGAAAGCCACAATGTTTATATGAGATCATTGTGGTGCCGAAATGTAATCTGATACGTTATTAGCCGATTTACACCGCCGAATGATTCAGCCAAAATTAGTAGTATCAGCAAGTCAAAAAATATATATTTTTTTTTTAATAAAATAAAAAAAGTACGCACGTACATACATACGTGCATACGTAAATAGAAATATATATATGTACATAATCACATGACTTTATTTTATTTATACATATCGATATTAATTAGGCTAGATCCTCTATTTTTTAAAAATTTTAGATAAAAAAATATCACATTAACCAATCAAATTGCAGTATTGGTTTTTATAATTTTTATATTTTTTACAGCCAATAGAATTACTGTATTTTGTTAATTTGTGGTTTTTTTTATGCCCTTCCCCACTCCTATGATCTATTTTACGTTATGTTAAACGAAGAATTAATTTGAAGTGGCCTTAATGCTGCACACAGAGAACAATTTTACCGATACTTTTTCCTGATTTTAAATATGTTAATGCTTCTACAGCTTGATCGAATCTAAATTCGCGTATATTTGACGGTGGTTCCAATTCTAAAGTCTGAAGGTGATTAAATAATTGATTCAACCGTTCTTCACGTTCATATATATGGATCAAATTGAAACCGGCGAGCTATGTGTGATGTTATAATAACTAATTAAATCCAAGAAAAGTATAAAATTTATATCAAGAAATGAATAAAGACTTACAGATTTATTATCTTGAACAATTTTCATAGGATCAATTGTTGGCCTCCAAATGTATTTCCATCCCAATTTTATCCACTGAATTATATTCCATATAGGATGTAAATTTCCTGTTGGTGTAAAACTTGCTGATCCATAAAGAACTAATTTACCCTCTTTTTTCAATAAATTATAATTTGGCCAAAACCAATCCCCCATTACACTATCTAATACTATGTCAAATAAATCTTCTTGATCCATCTTTAACAAAGCTTGCTTTGCTCGACTTTCAAAATCTTTAGCGGGCTCCCGAAGAATAAACGTAAATTTTGGATTTTCTCCATATTTTTGATTTAAAAAATCTAGTTTTGATAATGTACCAACTGTACCCACAACTTTTGCCGATTTCTTGCTAAGAATGGAAAGGGCTGCTAAACCACATCCTCCTGCAGCTGAGTGAACTAAAACACTATTATTTGGTTTAAGTCGTCCAAGTTCTTCGAGTGCATAGTAAGCAGTTAGTGTTTGGACCTGAATCACAATTAATAAATACATTACATCATTAACCATTTTATCCTTGGTACGTTAGGAAATTATCAATGATCAATTTTTTTTCGATGATTTATACTGTACGATTAAAAAAATAATTATTAAACTAAATTTACATTTTTTAGCGCAAGTATCTAACAAAAGTGCATATAAGTTTTTTTTAACTTGAAGCTCTCGAATAGCTCTACATGGTAATAGAGCTACTTTTTCGATAGTTTATTAAATTCATTCCACAATTATATAAATCTTAAATTATAATTATTTAATTAATTTTTACAAAATTTTTAAAAAAAAAATATTTAAAAATTAGCTCTATTACCATGTAAAGCTAGTTGAGAGCTTCAAATTAAAAAAAAATTAAATGTACAGTACTTTTGTTAGGTATTTGTGAAAAAAAATGTAAATTTAATTTAATATTTAAATATACGGCCTATAAAAAATCCGAAATTAATGATCTTCACATATTACCCTAACTAATGTTTGGTTTAATTGCAACTATAAATGCTGGTGAAACTGGTAAAACTCTTGGTAAATAGTGGTTAAACAGGTGAAATTTAATATAACAGCTGATCAGATTCTGGATAGTCACCAGTTTCACCAGCATTATTTGTTTCACCAACATCTATAGGCGAAACCCAAGGTTGGCACATTTATCCATTGGGCCCAATGGAGAAGATCTCCATTTGACATTGATCCATTGCTTCATTGAGAATAATTTGTCAATGGGGCCAATGAAGTCAAGCATAATAATCATAAATCATAATATATTATACAGTATAATTATATATTCTAATTTATAAAATTACTAATAACTTTTAATTCACTGATCCGTTAATTACCAAAATGTTTGTCTTGATGAGAGGATTCTAATCGCCAAAATCTAATCACATGATCCAGAAATCGTATATATACTTGTTGGCAAATCCAAAACTCCAAAAATACAATTGCTATTTTAACAAATTGAATCAAAAAAAACAATCTTATAATGTTGCAAATATATTATATATAGCTATAAATATATATCTGATTTATTTAAATAAAGATTATTAATAAAGTTTTTAAGATATGAGTTTGGCCAGAGTTTGGGATTTGGGCGCGCCCAAACCCAAACCATAATAGTTTTGGATTTTGCAAACATGTATAATCGTATGATTTTAATTCTTATTAAAATCGCACAAAATTGATCCTCTTATCGAGACAAACATTTTGGTAGTTAAATAATCCAAAACGGATTACGGGATCAAAAGTTATTAATAATTTTAAAATTAAAGTATATATACAATTAATAATATAAATATAGTTGGTTAATTTAATGAAGCCAATGGGGCCAATGGATACTATCCATTTACTCCATTGGTTCCATTGATAATTTTCTCAATGGACCTTATCCATTGCCAACCCCGGCGCAACCCTATTGGTGCGTACGTACGTATATAGTCAATATTTTTGGATTAAGCTTACCGGATAGGCACAAGCCTGCTGATCAGTCCAATCTTTCGGTGTTTCTTTAACGTAGGCTATTGGCACATTAATATAAGTCGCGTAACTACCAAACCTTGCAACTCCGTAAACGCGTTTCCCTAACCAGTTTTGAGAAATACCATCACCTACACTCTCAACTAACCCCGAATATTCGAAGCCCGGAATCAATTTTCCCTCAGGAACAGCTGAGTAAAGCCCAAGTACTAAAAATATGTCTGCATAATTAAGTCCTATAAATTTAACTTTGATGCGAATATGTTCAGGAGGAGGCGGTGGTAATTCTTCCTGTTTTTCTTTAAGATTTGCAAAAGTTCCTGCTTGGTCTGCTACCCATACTTTGCGTACTTGTGTAGTCATTATTATGCACAGTCGCCACAGAAAGTCCAATTGTGATTTTTTTTATCTGCACACTGTTGTACAGACTTGTGCAACAACTAATTTTGGTGCTTAATGAATAGACCAGATGGCTTATAATATGAATGGGTTATTTGCATCAACAACGTACAAAGTTTTACTTCTTATAATTCGTGAGTAGTAAATACCCTAGCCATGGCGAAAAGGTGTCTCTAATTTGAGATTCTACTTGAACAGTCAAATTTTTGGTTGGCCGAAATCGACGATCCATTCTTTCAAGTTCGATTCGTATAATTAATTATAGTTATTGTACTGTATGGGTATGTGGTGAATAACCTAGTTACACACGGGTTCATATCCGACGGATTTAAATATGAACCCGTGTGTGTAACTGGGTTATTCGTACAATAACTATCTTATCAGACGTACGATTTGTCACATCCAAAAATTTATCATATGATTTTCATAAATTACACAAATTGCCGAATTTACATTTTTTATTAAATTTTCTAGTGATCAGAGTAATTTTGTGTGTAATATTATTTATTATAAGATCGACAATGCAATTTTACGCATTTTCATAAGAAAACAGCCGAAATGCAACTTTCACTTCTATGCTAACCCAACGATTTCATAAGTTATTACATCTCCACGTCATAATGTTTAAGAATCGCTAGATTCCTCTCTTTATAATAATAAGCTTACTTTCTTTAACGGATTTAAAACCAAAAACAATCTTTCAAAAAAGCAATTTGAATTTTACCTTAAATATAGTATGTGAATACCGTTTAATCTTATAAATATCGAAGACAAAAGCACAAAAATCAAAATAATAAGTGAACTTCATCGACGAAAAATTTAAATATTCTGGTAAATTTATTTAAAGGATTTAATCGGGTTTGTCTATTTAGAATTTAACTTGTCT